GGTATGTATACATATATATGTTGTGTGTGTATGTATGTATGTATGTATGTATATGTATATGTATATGTATATGTATATGTATATGTATATGTATGTATATATACACGTATATTACACCCGAAATATTACATGCAACATGTTCAGCTATATGTAATATATCAGATGGGAGAAAGTGAAAGGACGGATGCTCTACCTTTGGTCTAGCGGCATGCGAGACCGCACGCCCTTCAGCACGCGCCGTCATGGCAGTTGGCCATAGGAGCTCTCACTGTCGAGGGGCAGCGAAGGCAACGTCAAGGACATCGCGGTCTCAGGCCAAACCACCTCATTCAGTGTAGCTTTCAGACACAGCTGAGTGTGTTCAAGCACTGTTGCTTTTTGCTGGGTATGTTGTGGTTTGTTTTCATTTTGGGTTGGTCTTTGGGAATCGGACATTTGGATTTCGCTTGGGTTCCCGACCCAGATAGCTTGTATGCCATGCCAACACTGGCACTGCTCCCAGCCTTGATTCCTGGCGTAGTCCGAAATCGGGAAGCAGGGCTTAGGATTTGGGGTTGAGGCAGAACAAAAAATAGAAGGTTGGCTACCTAGTGGCCAATCTGCTCCTGTTGCCGGTTTGCTTGCTGCAACAGTTCTGAGTTGGACTCGAACGAGCAGTTGCGTACTGTGGGTGGGTGTGCGGTCGTTTCCAAAATTACTAGCTGCTACTTGCGGCGGCAATCCTCGGCCTGTTTTGTTTTTATGAACGGAGGGACACTACGTGCCGAAAGGTCAAAAACGCGCCGACATGAACAAAACTAGAGGTCCACCGACATGGAAAAATACGTGCCGACATGTAAAATGAAGTGTCCGCCGACAAGGTAACAAACTAGGTAGGCGGCTGACCTGCCGCCCTGCGTTTTGTCACATTCCCAAAACCCGAAAGTACTGTAATTTCCGGCACTTTGGGTTCTAAGGGCTATTTTGGGAGGGAAGTTTGGCAAAAACATGACCATATGTCAAACATGTAAGGGGGAGTCTTTTCAGACTGCGCACGAACCCCAGGGAGTCTTTGTGGAGGCTAACATGGTTGCCACATGGATGCTCTGCAAAAACGGACGAAGTCTTCGTGGACGTTAACATGGTTGCCACATGGATGCTGTGCAAAACCGGACGCGGTCCTTGTGGAAGATAACATGGTTGCCACATGGATGCTCTGCAAAAACGGACGGAGTCTTTGTGGACGTTAACATGGTTGCCACATGGATGCTGTGCAAAAAAAGCGGCCGGAGTCTTTGTGGCCGGAGTCTTTGTGGACGTTGTCATGGTTGCCACATGGATGCTGTGCTAAAACGGGCGAAGTCTTTGTGGACATTAACATGGTTGCCACATGGATGCTTTGTGGGAAATTTCGGAGTGAGTCAGAACAACGAGAGTCTGCGAAAGCATAGAAACAGCAAGAAAAAAGGCGAGTCACCCGTAAAAATGCAGTGAAGACAGCCCTTCCAGCATAAAACGCGCTCCAAAACAGCAAAACTTCGAGTTTTGGACCCGAGAGGAGCAAAACTTTTGCGCAAGCGAAAATGAGCAAAAGAGCAAGAACGAACAAAAAAAGGGAAGAAATGTTAAAAAAAACCCGAGGAAAACGCACGCCAGAGAGCAAAATGTCGAAGCAGGAAGAACGAAAAGATGCCGAAAAAGGGTGTCCGGGCGGCATGTCAGCCGACTGGCAAAACTACGCATCGACATGGAAAAAATGTGGGCCGACAGACCAAGAATACTTGCGCCGACATGCAAAACAAACACGCCGATGTGGAAAAAAGACGCGCCGACATGCCAAAACGGCACCCGCCGACATTGGAAAAAAAGCACGTGCCGACAGGCTAAAATCCGCGCCGAGATGGACAAACAAATGTGCAGACAGAGTTCAATAGACAAGAGAGGTTACCATGAGGAACTCCAGGAATTCAAAGGGAATGATCCAGAGGCAGTTGGGTGAGTTTTGAAAAAGGGCCTGCCGACATGCCCAAAAATACGCCCGTACCAACAATAAATACTCACCGACATGCCAAAAATACCCGCCGACATGGAAAACACGCGTGCAGACAGAGTTCAATTGAAAGAAGAGGTACCTATGAGGAACTCAAGGAATTCGGGCGGAGTGATCCAGAGGCTGTTTGGTGAATTTGAAAGTGACTGTTTTGAAAAAGGACCTGCCGAGACGTGAAAAATGCGCACCGCTATGGCAACATTTGGCCCGACGACCTGCCAACAAAAATGTGCTCACAGGCCAAACAACACGCGCCGACATGCCAAATCGAAAAATAAACGCCCCGCGGAGATATTTTCTCGGGGTGTTTTTTTCTCCATCTCGGGGCAAAGTTTTGCCATGTCGGCGTGCGATCCCCATGAACAGATGGAACATTGAATCCTCGTATATGATACTGATACTGCTGTCGGTCAAGATGTCTCAAACGCCCGGAGACTTTACACAAAAGGTTGTTTTTCGATTTATACCGAAGCCTCATATGTTTCTTCGATTCAGTAGGCGCTTGCTCTCAGTGTCATTGTTTGTTCCTGCTGTGATACTGTAACACTGTAAAACCGTCACACTTGTGTCAGACTTGTGGAATCCTCCGGCATCCCGCTGCAGATTCGACGCTGCAGAAAGCTGCAACATCTGCCGGTTGAACCCTGTAGAAACACGGTCTCACACAGAAGCACAATCCCAGATGCACACTCGCGAGCATGTCCTCTTTCTGATCAGGCATTTTGCATGTAAAACAGAACTTCGACATTTGGGGTTGTTCGGTCTTGTGGTTGATAATAAGAAAAGCAAGCATGAAATCACAGTGAATTACACAAGAACAGGCAAGCACATAGAAAGTGCGGGAATGCCATGATTCAAATTGGTATCAACCATATAATTTCAATGGGAAACATGCAAATTTGACCTACCGCCATATGGTTGGTGAAGCCACGGCATAAAACAACAGACGACCGGTACAAAGCGCACCTCACCCAGGGCCTTACGTGGTGATGTTTCTGCTGTTTTTGACATCTTGACTATGCTTGATTCATCTCGACATTGAAGACTTACTCTCTCTCTTTCTCTGTCCGTGGCTCTCTGTTTCACTAGCTCTCTCTCTCTCGCTCTCTCTCTCTCGTTGCTGCTCTCCAAAGCCTCCTCCCACGACTCAAGTTCTGTTGCTGCCTGTGCTCCAAGACGTCGCGTGCTGGACTGTAAATCCTGACCTCTTCTGAGTTTCTGCTTTCTTCAGTGCCAAGAGCCCGAAGTTCAAGAGTTGCATCCCGCCACGGCAGGCCTCTTGAAGCTCGGCTCCGTTCACCTGAGTACGGAGTCGAGCTCCGGCATCTACATTGCAGCACATAATCTTTCTCTCGAAGCTCGGAGGCACTTGGATGTCATGCAAAGGACGGGTTCGGAGGGGCGACCAAAACTCCTTTCGTTCTGGTGCAGCAAGGAGGATGTGATGAATTGTACCAGCACCTCCACTTGCAGCTGGACTGCATTGCGAGCGTTACCTGCAGGTTTCAGCCCTGAGTTGACCAGACGATAAGCATTCCCGTCCAGGCACCTTCTATGCGAACGCCGCCACAAGGGCCGGCTTCCTTTGCCCTTTGGGCACAGGGTGGGTGGATTTCGAAGGTTTGCATGATTTCGGCTGCCTGGTATCGCTGGCCTGCATTGCCCTGAAGTGTAGAGCCCGGGGTTCGGAGCCCTGTGGAGCTTCCGCTTCGTAGGTGTGCAGGACTTGTATGTGAAATCTTCTAGGATATCTTGCGAGTCCGTTCGTGTCTCTTTGCGATTGAGGTCGGCAAAAGCCGACCTTGACAATGCGGACCGTAGCCAGGGACAGGTCGTGCCAGACACTCGACATAGAACCGAACGGTACCACGAACTTCCTCTAGAAATCAAGGGCAGGACCCCACAAGACCCGCCAGGCATGCAAGCCAGGGGACACGCAGGTTCTGAACGTGACGAGCAGGCCTGCCGTGTCGACGTCGAATGGGGGACATTCATCTGGGTCCATCCAATTTTCTTGGAAGGAGGCTGTTGTTATCCTGGGTTTGCCGTTGGATCGTTTATGGTCCGAGCCTTCACACCGTACCCCCAAGCCTAAACTTAAGTCTAACCCCTACAGCTGCGCCGCGACTCACAGCCCAGAATGACAGTCCAGAACAAAACATGTAGTGCTCGCCAGCCGCAGAAAGCATGCCTTTCATCATAGATGCCTGCAGCTCCCAAGTGGCTTTCGGGTCGACTTCCAGATAGCAAGTACGTCTCCAGGCCGTGCAGTCAGTGCCCCGAAGGGGCTTCCAAATGCCTGGCCAGCGAGCTGAAGATGGAGTGTCCTGTCCTACAATGACTGACTCGAGGCTTTTGGGTTTCCGTTTTGGATTCTGGGTGTTGGGGGTTTAGTTCACCAACCCTGGCATCAGATCCGCGCAAGAGAACTATCCGTTAGGTGGCAAGCTTTAAGCGAGACTTCATTCATTTGTCTTCCGAGCAGTCTTTCACATGCAGGCGGCAGCATTTTTCCGAGCATTCATTTGACAAATTTCGCTTTCTTAGCAGTATGTCAAGGCAGGCAAGCAGCAGCATGCACCAGCATGCAGCAGCAGGACGCCCAACACCGAATTTCGTTGTCCGAGCAGACTGCATCAGGATGTCCAAGATGTCGGTAAAGACTTCGTGCCCAAACCCTACACAGTTTCTGTGAACAGACCATGAGCCTCATGGAAAGGGGCGATCAAAACAAACCCTAGAGACAAACAAGAACCCTGGACCGTAAACCCTAAACGCCACTTCGAAGAAATCCCTATCATCAGGGCTGCAGCTCTCGTGAGACGAGCTCCAGCCCCACCGAGCAAGCCGCCATGATCAGGAATGCCTCCCAAGCAAGATGCCACCGACCCCTAAACCTAAACCCCAAACCCCAAAAGCCCCAAACCCCCAAAACCCCTAACTAAACCCCTAAACCCCTGAACTCCCTAAACCCAAAAAAGACTGAGGCCCGGGCTCATGGTGGAATTGGAGGATGTCAAGCGCAGCTTCCACTGTCCCAACGAGGCTGGGAAGATTAGGGTTCTATAAGACTTCTGTAAGGGTTAGATTTTTATTGGGGTCCATGAATCTGTATAGGGCATCTACAAGGGTTCTAGGAGGGTTTGAGGGTCCAGGGTTTTGAGACGCCCAGCCCCTACTAGTAAACACCCAAGTGACACAGTAGCCTCAAGACTGGATTCTTCGGCAGCGAGACTGTGCTCGGCGCACGCGAGCACGAAGCGCCTATCAAGAAGTAGAGCACCTACATCGCACCCTATATGAAGCTGAGCATGGCGCAACACCCAAGAGGTCAAGAAGTCTACCCCTAAGGCTGCCTGCCCTGGGGGCGACGTATCCCAGGGAAGGGTGCGCCTGGCAATGTGCGCAGCTGGCTGCTTGAGCTCCAATGGGTTGTGGTTGGACTTTGGCTTTGGGTTTCGCTTCGTAGAGGTGATGTTAAAGCCTCAAGAGTGTTCCCTGTCATTATTGTCATAGTTTACCCCAAAGCCCTATTCTAACTGTAAGGCACTATGTTACGCTCATTAGCCGCGTCGTTCTTCTGACTCGGGTGTTTTGCGCTTTGCCATGCCACGTTTGACCCTGAATCTGAAGCACAGATAAGCGCAGATGGAAAACACCGAAGCCTTGAGTTCAAAATCGCAAGGCTACCGGGGCCAAGGCTGCACGAGCTGCAGCGATGAGCACGCCATGGCGGACAGCAGTGTGTTCTCGTGCTCCTTGCCCGACCTGGACTTTCAAGCCTTGGGCCCTATTGGATTGTCTGAAGCTTGAAGTCTTGAAGGCTTTCCGAACCTTTGGCATCAACATTTTAATTCTGGCGGGCCTTGACAGTGCTCCTTTATCTTTGCCAGCTCAAGATGATGTTAGCCATTGGAACTGCCTGGGGTTCTAGATTCTAGACACATCTGGCTTCTCGGAAATGCGCAAGCACGTTGATGACTTGGTGCGATGCTCCTTACGTTGACATATCATGTCGCAGACCAAGTAGGCACAGCCCCCAGAAAGAAAGTTGCACGGCCTCGCAGCCTAGCTTTGTCCAGCCTTGCGTGCAGCCTTCTGCTGCTCGCAGCGGCTGTCACCTCCCGCTAGCCCCCACTGGCTTCCAGCGAGTGCCTTCGAACTTCCAACCGTCTTTATCCTAGCCGGCACTTCTCGCCCTTCGAAGCTCCAGTTGTATTCTGAACCACCGCATCAGCAGGGAGACCAAAGGATCCGGTTGCCACATCTTTCTGCAGCATGCTGCCGAGGCACTGCCTGCAGCAAAGACCGTCGTGTGCAGGCTGGACATTCTTCTCATGCGCTCCGAACATCTAGGACGGTTTAATACAGCCAGGCACTGCGTTTTTGCCCTCGTGGTCCTTTGCGAGAAACCGCATAGATAAAAGCTTTGGTCGCACAGAGGCTATATGCGATGGCTTTTTTTGGGTGCGTGGTCCAGCAAACCTCGGTGGATACCTGCAAGCCCAAACCCGAAACCGCAAACCATTGAGCTTCTCGAAGTCAGCACGTATGCTTGACCGTGGCAAGAAATTCATAACTAAGGGATATTGAGCTCCATAAACTTCCAGGAAGCCTTGTAAATCCTGACACAACACTGCATGGTTAGGGGATGTAGGAGTCTCTGTGGGCGAACCGACGCAGGCGGTGCAGTGGATCACGTTCCTGTCTCAGCGCACCTTCCTTTTTGCAATCGGAGCTCTGAGCGCCTTTGGAGCCAAGAAGGACGCTTGGCAAGACCCAAACCCTAAAGCCATCTTGCCTGAAGCCAGCTAGAGTACTAACAATCATTAAAAGCCCTTGAAGCCCTAAGGCTTAAGCCATCCTAAAGCTCTGAACCCAACTTTGCCTGGGCTACTGAGCTCAGGCTGGGGACCTGAAGCAAAGCAGCATCTACCTGAACCAACTGATGGCCTTTGCCACCATCTCCAACACGACGGTTGCCGGCATATCAGGGGCTTTATGGTCTTTTGCTTACCCTAAAGCCCTAAACCCTAAGCCCCAAAACTGCCTTGAGAACCTTGAGCCCTAAGCCTAAAGACTAAACCTTTTAGGTGTTGGGGTTTTCCTTCTTGGGGCGAGTGCCCAGGATCCTGGCTGCCGTGTTGCAGACCCAGACGGCGAAGGACATCAAAAGCGACGCCGCCGCCCCGCCGGCATTTCGGAGCTTTCTCCTTGCAGACTACATCACGATCATCATGTATCATCACATATCATCATATACGCAATAGTATCTTATCTCTCCATGGGCCTCCGAGCCAAGGCGAACTTCTTCTTCAACGCTGCTATGCACACCGCCGAGGCAGCTTCCGGACAAGGACCTGCCCTTCAGGGAGTCAGTGCGGTCCTGAACACTCAGAACTGCCTAACTGAAGCCCAGCTTTTCGTGTCTGCTGGAACCCGCAGCAGAGAGAGAGTCCCGAGGTTACCCCCAAGATGCATTGCACTGCCCGGCGCAAGATTCCGGCTTAGTCCGCCTTCAGCTGGTTCCCACCTTAGCAGAAACCGAGGCAATCTCCTTGAAACCCTAAACCTTGCATCCACAGCCTCAACTCCGAAACCTGAAATCCTGAACCCTAGACCCTAACGTAGGAGTGACCCAGCAGCTCCCGCCAGGATCGTTACGCAGCGCCTCCTCGCAGTGTCTTTTGTCCTACCTCGGCTACGAGAAGACCTTGTGGCTTGGTCGCAGGACTTCCTGTTCAGACCCCCTTTGACTTCACCGCTTCACAGGCTGTGGGTGGACGGTTTCGGCATGGCTGCACAGAGGTGATGACTCCGTAGTTATTGCAGTTGTTGTGCGGACTGCGGCTCAGATGGGGAAGTCACCTGCTGGATGTCGTTGCTGGGCCGCACAGACCTGCACGGGAACCGGAACCCCCATGGATCGAGTAGCTCCTTTACACGGCAGGCAGGCTCTTTCTATTGCGAGTATTACCGTGGCTCCTTCATGGGTTCCTTCTGATCGGGATCCGACTGTATTACTATGATGGCTCGAGAAGAAGGATCCTACTATTCCAATCCTTCGTGGGGTTATTTAAACACGGATCCCACTGCTATCACTAAGATCGTAATGGTTACAGTTTCAGCGGTTGAAGATGTGCTTGGTCCTGGAGTCTTCAAGCAGCCTGTGAGAGTCATGAGTAGAGTGTCTGGCCTGTTGCTGTACTCTGTAGGAGCCTTGCTGATGGCTTGAAGGCACCAATCTCCAACAACCCTGAAGGTTGTGGCAGCCGGGCTCATTTCATCGCTGTCCTTGATGAAGGATTTTCGTGTTGCGCTCATCGCAGGCCTGAGCATATGGAAAGACTCTGGACGCAGCAATCCTTACTGCATGGTGCAATGGACTTTGAGTCCAAGTATCAAACTCGAAAAGTTGCTTCATTGCTCGCTGATTCAACCATGAAGCTATACTCTAGAAACTAAACCCTAAACCCGAAAGCCTAAGCCGGTTTGGGGTTGAGTACCCCCGGGCATCAAGGCAGCTTTCAGAAGATCAATGCATGCTCACTTCGCGTGTTTGCAAGCAGCTGAACCTAGGTGGAGACAGATGTGTATCTGTATGATCTGGGTAGCATGTATACATACACACATACATAATTTCATACATACTTATGTACGCACGTACGTCCATATACGTGCAGGCAGGGATGTCTGCATGGACGGATGTATGAATGCTGGTATGATATGGTATGGTATGGTATGACAGGCTGCACTATGCTGCGCTATGCCATGCTATGCTGCGCCACACTATGCTATGCATGCATGTCCGCACATGTGTATGTAGGTGTGTATTCATGTATTGTTGTATGTAATATGTTCGCATGCATGCATGTTTGTATGTATCTCTTTATACACATGTGAGTACACATGTGCATGCAGATACATTTGTGTATACATATCCGGCGACACACACATACATACACACGTACGTACGTACATACATACATACATACATACATACATACATATGTAAATATTTATATATATATATTTACACACCTATATCCGAAACGTACCTCGAAGCCTTGTGCTTTCCAGACTGCGCTCCTCTCCGAGCACAAGTCTTATATCCCACCGTTCAAACCAAGATAATGATGGAAAGTATGGCCCAGTATTCCCTCTCTAGGACGACATATCTCCTTTCAAACCAAGGTACTTTGATACTAAGTATTACCTAGTATGCCTTGTCTACGACAACAGAAAACCGTTCAAACCGAGATAAAGATATTAAGTGTTGCCTAATATTCCCGGTTTACCACGACACAACACCGCGTTATCTATAGTTTATGCTATAGGCTATAGGGTATTCTATAAGGCATGCTGAAGGGTATCCTAAAAGGAGGCTATTCTATGAGGTACATGTAAAGTATACAGAGGGTATATTACAAAGGCGGTCTTCTGTAAGGTAATCTACTACAGCACAAGGCACAAGGTATTCCAGATGGCATTCTATGTGGCATTCTGTAAGGTATACTGTAGGGTACAAAAGGTGCTCTGTAGCCTATATTTAGGAAGGTATTCTATATAGGGTATTCCACATGAAATTCTGTAATGTATATACGGACGGGGTATTCTCTAAGGTAGTTCTAACTCTTCCTGGTTCTTGATTTTCTTTATGGGAATCCCTTACCCAAAAGCTAAAATTTAATCGGGGACTTCTCAGATCTTGGGTTTCGTATATGTATATGTATATGTACACATATATATATATATATGTATTTTCATGTATGTATATGTACACACATTTTTATGAACATACACACACATATATATATATATGCACATGCACAGACATGTGCATTCACATGCATATATGCATTTCTGCATACATTCGTTTATGTACCTGGATATGCATATGTTTATGTTTGCGCATGTATTTGTACGTGTATATGCATATGCATATGATTATGTGTGCGTATATGTACCCCTAGTCGCCCATCTGCCTATCTGTCTATCGGCTTATCTTGCTTGTCTACCTATCTACTTACCTAGCCACCCGTGCCTGCTTGCCTGCCTACCTCCTCCCTACGTACCTACCTACCTACCTACCTACCTGCCTGCCTGCCTACCTATCTACCTACACCTTCTTCTACGCACACACACGTACACACCTGCCCATCTATCTATGCATTTGTCTCCCTCTCTCTCTCTCTCTCTCTCTCCCTCCCTCTCTCTCTAGCCATCTATCTAGCTAGCTTGCTTGCTGGCTGGCTAGCTAGCTAGCAGCTAGCCAGCGAACTGGCT